CCACCAGTTGTAGCGAAGTTGGTAATTTGGCCTAGCATTGGCTGTTGGGACTGAGGGGCATTACAAAGTACGGCAATGTGATCGGTATACTCCAGGTCAGATATTCTGAATTAAGGGTGCACTTCACATTCACACTCAGTTAGAATTGAGTAATGCATCAGCCAGTTAGTCAAGACAATGAAGACAACGAGGGAAAGATGGTATCCTTGTCGGACTCCAGAAGTCAGCGGGGAGGAATCTGACTCTTCACTAAGGCCTCTTACTCCGACTGACATTGTGTTCTAGAAGGCGTTGATCAGATTGAGCAACTTTACTAGGGGTCCATCAGCAATCAAGATTTGCCATAAGGCTTCTCTGTCGATGGAATGAAAGGCGGTTTTGAAGTCAATGAAACAGGCCGTTGTGATCTGCTGACTCTGGTGTCGATGTTACAACAGAATGGGAATAGAGATATTGTCAACAAATCCCTTTTATGGAGGAAACCCTCTTTCGTCAGGACAAGTGTGTAAATTGCGCTCAATCGCAAATCTATTGCGAAAAATGGCCGCAATCCCTCTGACGGCTAGATTGATGAGACTTATGCCGCGATAATTAGAACATATGGAGATGTCACCGCGCTTCAGTATCGGCAAGATGATGGACAATGACGAGTCAGTAGAGATGACTTATCTAGACCACATAATCAAGTCCAGTAGGTATCACAGAGAAGCATTTAGAGCCATCGAAACGTGAAATTCAGAGATTCTACGCGAACCTCAATGTTTATTGCACTTGCATGAGAGTTCCAGTCTGCAATTCGGAGAAAAACCGAAGACATCATCCCAGATCCCATTTACTTGATACAGTACTGTGAAGGAAAAGCGAGAGAGGCTATGCAACGCTGTGCAATTTGTGGAGGGGATCACTATCAAGATAAATGCCCATAAGTTATTGCCAGTTGACGGAATGAAAGGCAAGCGATCGTACAAGAACGTAAACTGTGCGGCCATTTTCTGAATGCGAATCATGTTGCCAGGAACTGCGGCTCACTGGAGGCTGTACACTCGAAGTCTGCGGCAGGGAAAATCACACTTTCTACATCCAGAGGATGATGAACTCAAATGTCTGACGGAATTCATCGTCTGTCATCGTGTATTTGGACATGATGAAGAGGGTCCAGAGATTACCCTCACAAATGCTACCGAGACCATACGAACTGTGGTCCTTTTAGAAAATGGCTCTAACTCAACCCTCATGCGGGACAGTCTCGTATCTGCCCTTGGAATGAAGCGCAAAAGTATCGATAGCACGATATAAATGTTGAATAAAGAAACGATATCTCATACCATGGGCATAGAGTTTGACGTAGAATCTAAGGTTCTAACAACATCCATTCAGGGCAAACGAGTTACCTCTGTCAAATACCTACCACCAGCAGACCTATTCATGTTAAGTTACAGGTTAGCTTCCTATTTCTCTCAAAGAAATACCTTCGAATCGAAGTCATACGAAAACTGGGATGGGATAAGCTGAAAGCGCATTGCGTACAAGACCAAAGGGCAAAGGTAATTTAAGTAGTGTGCCTCATATACTTCTAGTCCCAGCATCTTGTCCTACGGAAACAGTGGTTAAAGGGGTTTGGGCGTAGGAAAACAGGATAGGCAGTGCAGGAAATTGGTAGAAGTAAGGGGAGAGTGGAAAAATATAGTTAAATATGTTCCCCGCGGACACTGGTAGTAAGTTGTTCCGCATGTAAATTGAAGGTGTGCGCGGCGCTTTGCGCCGCGGGCTATACTAATCTAACTCTAGAACAGTAAGTTGAACCTCAGATAAGTTGAAGTAGACAACCTGCATTTTTATAATCGGGGTTTCCCGCAACATGTCAAACGATAATTCAGCCCAGGAAAATCTACAGATATAAATCAACAACATTCCTAAGCACGATACAAAAATATATACAGCAGTTATTAAAATATACTCCACTGTTTTCCTAATTCCTTACCCATAAAACCCCTACAACCACCGTTTTCGTAGGACAAAATGCTGGGACTAGGCGTAAATGAGGTGCACTACTTAAACTACCATTGCCGACCAAAGTTTGGGTAAAGCTGACGAACAACACGCCATTCGGACTTCCCTGGGCTGGAAAATGATGGAACCTGTACCTTTATCTCCCAGAAGAAATAAAAATGATCGATGACTGCTGAAGTTCCGAAGGCTTTGAAATATTCTACCAAGTCGACGAGGCATTAAACGAAGAGAAATATTTGTCTGTGAACGATCGTAGTGCGCATGGAACCATGGACCAAATCTTTTGTTTCTATAAGAGCCAGTACATATTAGGCAGACCTTGGAAAGCCCACCTTTCAATCGTGCTGAATAATAGGCTTTACGCCTTAAAATGTCTCCATTTCCTTGGTAAACACATCCAAGAATTAGGAGACTTGTTACACAATTATACGATACCTACGTACGATTATTTCGAGCGTGGGTGCTCTGAGGTTCCAATCATTACGATCTTCAGGCGCGGTTCTTTAGAGGAAGACAATTCATGGCAGGCCAGAGTGGTAGGAACAGTTTATTCTGTACAGAAGGAATGGAGAATAGGTAGGAGGAGATTGGACTCTCAGATGAGTTCAGTCCGTTCCCTAGTGGGTCAGATCCGGAGTGTTAGAGCGTAGGCAGGCATCGCAGTCAGTCACCTAAAACCGTATTTGTCTTGGTCAGCCTTGAAAGTGATTGGCTAAACCGAGAGCGGACTACGGTGCGCGCATGCTAGTAGGTTGCGCTCGACAGGAGTAGGTCAACAGGCGTTGCCAATGGTAGAGAATATTCGAGCCCCAGGAAGCAGTTCAGAGGAAGAAGATGCGATCGCTGGAACAAGAGTTTTA